CATGAGTTAGAATTCAGCCGTGGCAGAATGCAGAACTTGTATCTCCACAGTGTGACCGAGTTACATTCAAAAGCTGCTTTAACAAGTTGTTTGCCACTGAACTACTTAATTTGCTTGGGGGAGAATCACATGAACTTCGCAGCATTGTCATCACAGCACTGTCTGTTCTCAGGAATTCTGAGTTTTGAGCTATTTTAGTTACAGAGGTGCTACAAAATAGTAATACCGTTATTTTACAGGAACAAGCTCTTTTAAATATTCATATTTTCTAGTGGAATTAGAGAAGTAAATCTAACACTCAGACTTTGAAACTGTGTTATGGTTGGCCATCTCCCCAGTGTGTGCTACACACAGATAGTTAAAAGAGTGTGTTCTGTGCTAGTTTGTGTGAGCGTGTGTATTTTCAGCATGTGGGAAACAAACTGTAGACTGTTGCTTCTGACACTGAAAATTAAGCTGTGACATTGATACTCTGCTTAAGATTATTCTTTAGGATGTGGATGTCCTAAAGAAAGATGGTTTTATAGTTGTGCTGTTCTTCTTCCTCCTTTTTAGCTAAATTTGGCCAAATGTGAAGAATTAGGGACCTAACAAAATTCTGGACGTTAATGCCAGTCAGTGACTGGGGGAAAGCAGTCATGTTAATGTTTGGATTGACTCAAAAAGCACTGAAGACTTCATTGTGGAAATACTAGAACATCCACATTAGGAGAAAATGATATTTGTATCTTGTTGCCTAGGGTGTTAGTCCACAATTTAAATTGTGGCATGGAGGGTGCAACTGGATGATGTTGACTTGAGGCCTGGAGTTGTGAAGAATATTTGGTGTATGGCTAGGAGAAGGATTTTATGGAAGTCACATTTCTCAGTAGATAGGCTCTGCTTTTGTGTTTGGGGTGTAGGTCTCATTGGACTGTTTGGTCTGGCATGATGAGAAGAACTTTAAGGCATGAAAGGAGACGCGTGGGAGAGACTCAATCGCCATGCCTGTATGCAGGAAGAGGAGAGTAACATACATAAAGAATGCTAGAGGGGAAAATGATGGACAGCATAGAGAAGGAAAGTGTTCCACTTGATGAGAAGAGTAATTGGATAAGTAATTGGTGAAAAGGCTGCGCTCAGTAAAACAGCCAGAAAGCTGGGTGTGGTGTTTATGAAAGAACTGACATATTTGCACAGTATTGCAAGGAGTGTAGCCAGCAAACCAGAGGAACAAGAACTACGGGTGTAGGATGTAAAAACTCTGACACCTGTAACAAAAGTTTGGTGGGATAGCGTTGTGAACTGAAATGGGTGTTGAAGGGCATGTTAAGAAAAGGACAGGCTTGTGTGCTGGTGTGCATGTGAGTGGCCTGCTGGAGTATACAAAGAAGTAGCATGAATGAAAGTAAATCTGAGGCCAGAGTAAGTTTGGAAGAGCATGGTTTTCTTATGTTGGGGAAAGCAAATACATATGTGACCAGTCATAGAAGAGACTACGTCCCAGGACATTGACTGGGGAACTAATGCTGCTAATAATAGTAGCACATAGTCATACTCAAGAGTGATAACTTTCTTCCTTGGCCACTGAATTAACAAGGAATGATGAAGCTTTAAATTTAGAAAACACCTTTGGATTTAGATGAGCGAGCAATTGTGAGATGATTCAGCTAAATTTAATACTTTTAATTAAGGTTCTTTAATTTCAGTGAAGGCAGGCCAAACACTAAAAGAACTAGTTGGTGAAACCACCTTGACTTGTGAAACTTGGAGAATTAAAATATCTGTCAATTAAAAAGGATGAAATCTCTGAAGCATGAAAAAAAGCTTGCAAGAAAGGGCTCTGAATCTGGCTGGGAAGCTTGTTAACTTTTCGGCCTTTGAGCTACTAATGGCACACTCCAACGTGAATAACTTGGAAAAGATCAGTGGCAGTGAATTAGGGTTTTGTGGCTGTGATGAAGGTGTGTTCCAGTGACTGTTTAGTCACGCTGGTATTTTCAAAGGTTTAATACAAAGCCATTGTGTAAGTTATTTGGCCCTGTTGGTTTTGTTCACCTTTTTTAGGCCTGATTTCAATCATGTTACAGTAACAAAGCTCCGGCTAAATAAGGGGATAATTAATTAATAAATTTGGTAATCATGTGTTGTCTGAAATACAAGAAACACCCAAACCCTAAGACTTAATAAAATGTCAGAATAATTTCTTGCCAATTTTCAGAACACAACTGAGTAAGACAATCCATTGACTGGCTGAGTAAGTGTGTGAAATGCCTGCTTTTGCTCTACCATATATTTCTCTGAGTATAATTATCATAGCTGGTTTTATTCTTCCTGTCTCTTCAGAATGACCCTTTTCCTTTAAAACATGGAATTCCTTTCAGTCCCAAACTTGCAGTGTGTGAAGTGCTGTTCCCCTTGCCGTTCCCACTGGGCACACAAGTGTTAGTGGAATCTGCAGCAGCGATTACCCTCAATTCGTCTCTCTGGTAGACTGAAACTACTGGCTGCTTGCTCTTAGGAGCATACTGAAACTTCCTTGGGGGGGTTATGTAGCATGTGCCTGCAATGCTCTTACTAAGCAGTGGAGACTCATGAAATATGGGTACTGTTCCATATCGATAGCAATTGACCCTAAAAATAGTTTATCCCAAAGTGGTGTGTTCTGTGAAATGGCATTGATATGTTAAATGGAGACTTCTTACAAATGGGAATTTATTATTTCTACTCACATTCTCTTACATTTCTGGGCAGGGCATCACAGTAACATAACTCTTCCACCTTTATAAAAGTTCTGCAGTTAAACACATAAGAAGGAAGGGCTCTGCACTTTGCCTTTTACTGCTCATTGGATTTCCAGCTTTGCTTCTACCAGAATATCGGATCATCTTCTCCAAATATCCTACCTTCTCTGCAGGCCTTCTGAGCAAAACTCATCCTCATCAGTAGGAGTGGAGCAGGGTTTAGTGTAGCTCTGGCTCTTTACCTATGTTTTATTCTTATGCTATGGACCTTTTTTCTGTCATGTATGAAGAGGGAATTGATGTCTTCAGTTCCAGGCGCTGGGCCTGAGACAGCAGTTGCAAGTGTGGCTAGCAGAAGCGGTATGAGCTGCCCTGCAGTTCCGTGGCAAACAGCATGATTTTACAGGTTTTCATGTTGAGCTTGGAAGCCTAATTTCATACACAAGCCATCTTGCTCGGAAGCAAACTAAATGCTGATCTTGAGCAATGTCATCTGGTAGCTGTTCTTAAGGACCTCCCCAGGTACTGTATCAGGAAGAAACACGCAGACTTGGAGGTCATTTGCAGCAGCACGTACGCACCGCATCGTCTCTGAGTCTGCAGAGTCTGCTTTATGGAGCCAGCTGAGGTATGGCCAGTAACCGATAAAACTGCAGCTGCAGACACCGTTTTCAGGGATCATAAACAGCTTTGTGTTTTGTTTTGCAAGGATATTGTGTTTGGTTCAAGTGACTGTTGACAGTTGTGCACTTTTTAGTACATCTTAAAGCTAAAGAATAATGATAAAAACCTCTGATCGTTTCCACACCTTTTCTGAGCCCTTGCTGAACTTATATGATACATCCTTTTTAACCTACTTTGTGGTGTTTAAATTATAAGATCTTTACTGTCAGTCTTTTGCTTTGAATAGTGCTCAGCACCGCAGGATGCTGTTCTGGGTTGGCATCTATTCCCTAGCATAATACAGTTGATAATGCCAAGCGTGGAGCTGCTTGATCTGAAAAGAATCACTCCTCTCTGGGGACTTCTGAACTGTATTTCCAAATCTTTGGGCACAAAACTGGACTTAATCCTGAATTTCTCTCACCTCTCAAATTACCAGATGGAATTAAAAGCTTTCCAGGCTTTTAGCAGGTAATATGCTGGACAGCGAATTTGAAGCTTAGGGGCCAAGGCAGCTTTTTATGTCAATTTTGAAAATTTATGTGTTTAAACAAGAGCGACCCAAATCTTGGGACAAATAAGATATGATGAGACCTGGTTGCTTCACAAATGGTTGAATTTTGAGATAATTTGATATAGTACATCCATCCTTGTGGAGGGTTTGGCTTGAGTGATTTGTCATCTGTGACACAGTAATTGTGGAAAGAAGTTCAGTTCCCCAAATCCCAGTATTCACCCCTTTGAGTCTCGACCCTACAAGGACCTCTCTATATTACAGTCAGTCTCTTCTGTCCACCTGCCCTTTTTTTGGAGCAAAGCAGACCTTGGGGTGTGTGTGTGTGGCAGGTTGCAGTTTCTCTTCTAGCTCCTCCGACCAGTTTTCCATTTGGTGTTGTGTGTGTTCCCCCGTGCAGTGCTGCTCGGCACGTGTACGTTCCAGCCTGTTCCCGTCTCACATGGTGCCAGTTCTCCCTTTCGTGTGGTCTCAGCTCCTCGGCTCATGTTCCATTTGCCCTACTTGGCTTTTTTGATCATTTTCAGAATATTAAGTGTGCACATGCACAATAAAAATGATGGCTTTTGCCTTCTGGAACACCCAAACATGGTGAGGTTGTGATCTTCTGGCTTAGGTTGTTTTGTTAAAGCTCAGTCCATGGCACTATTAATTTATTTATAAAGATAAAAATATTTTTATAGAAGAAGCAGGAACAGCAAAATACATAGAAAATTCCTGTGCAGAGTATTGAGAAAGTACAATAGAAACCCATTTCAATTACACCTTTGCCACCAGAATCTGCAGTGGCTTTTCATGGCAGTCAAGTGACTTACAGGCTTGTTAGCATCGCTTGCTTTATTGCCCTGGAAAAATTTGTCATTGTTGCTTTCCTGAGAGACCGAAAATTCAGGTCAAACAGAAGCAATTTGATATTTGAAGAGCTTCCATTTATTAAGCAGCTGACAGTGTCAGGCTTGAAGGAGAAGTGACTTCTTGTGGCTGCTTTCTGCCTCTTCAGTCCTGCCGGGTTTCAGCGGCGAGTGCCGCCACGGGCGGATGCTGAGGAAGGAACGAGTGTCCTGCTTCCTGGCGCAGGACTGATCCCACTCCCTCTGTGTGGGATCTGTGTAGCTATTTTTCAAAGCATCTGGCATGAATTCTGTCAATTTAAGATGTTAGCCCAAGTAACCCTTTCTTAACCTTGCATGGTAGAACCTGTGAACTTCTGGTTTATTCCTGGGGGAGGTAAATCGTTAAGTCCTCGTGGGCGTTCTGTTTAGCCGTGGCCGGTCAGCCATATGGTGTTGCATCTGCTGTCACTGCTGAAAGGGAACTGATTCTTCGTGCGTTTGGTTCTTGCTGGTTCTTTGGGTTTAGTTCGTACCATTTAATGCCACTGGGAAATAGAGATTCACGTGCTGAGGTCAGTTCATCTTTGATGAAGCATTCTGCATTAGTTAGTGTCATTTTCAAAGTCTTGCTATAATTAAAGATTTAGACACTTTTTTGGTGTCTCAGTATCACTGAAAAATCATAATGTAAATACTGCTGCTGAAACATAAGGATTAAGAACAGTCAAATTCTAAAACTAAAAATGGATTGGCCTTTAAAGTAATAAAAAATAATTGCTGATCTTCACTGTCAAATTATTTTACCATTCTGTGTCCTTTGAAGTGTACACTAACTGAATTTCTTGGCAGTAACTTCTGGCCTGTGATAAATAGTCTGTTCTAATATGGAACAGGAGAATTACTACTTTATTCCTGTAAGGCCATGTGGGTGTATTATGCACAGCCATTTCCTAATGGGTGATCTCTATAGACATGTAATTCCTAGGATAACGTGATAATTAAATATCCCTTGCTTATCCCATTAACCCAGGGCAAACTCAGTCTGCGAGAGGCAGATGAATGCAAAGCTATTCTGCTCTTCCTAAGCTCCAGCTAGTGACGTTTTTTGCTTTTGCTCGTTGGTGCTAGCATTTTGTTCCAAGGAGTGCACTGGTGGGTGTTCTGAGGGTCTTTCCCCCCACGTAATACACCAAACAGTCTCCAGCTCTTGAGTTTTAAATTGTTGTGAAATTGCTGTGGACTTCTTGCTTTTTAAATAGAGTCTGAAAGGAGGAAGTTTTATTGACAGAGTTTTGGGTGTAGTTCAGACAGATCTAGTTAACCCTATTGAAGACAGCCATGTAGCTCCTCTTTATTTGGGACCATGACTCGTTTATTTGGTTTTGCTGGGCTAAATACAGTTAATCAGCTTTAAAGGAAACTAAGCTGATTTTTTTTTTATATAGAAATGTATGTCTGCATAGCTCTTCCTGCTGGTAGGTTTAAACTATATTACCCTTAATTAGTAGTAGTATGAAATGACATACTAGTAGGTATTTCCAATTTCTGTTCTTGGGTTTTTCATTTCTCTCTTTTAAAGGTTAATCCCTTGTTTCCAGGTTAATCCTTCTCAATGCTCATCTCTGTCTTTCTCAAAGGTTTCTCCCCACCACCATGCCTGACTTCCTACCTATGATCTTGTTTTTCTGGCTATGGCCCATCCTGCAGCATCTCCACCTGAACTGTGTGCTCCTTATTTACTCCTGGTAGGCACATGAAGCCCCCTCAGCCCATTTTCTGGAGTAACATCTTGCACTGTGTTCTTAAGTTACTGCCTCTAGTTGTCACTTACACCCATTAGAAGCGCTGACACAAAGATGAGGGGGTGTGTTGTCTGGTTCAGAAATAATGAACTAATGTTTCCTTTAGACACTTGATTAAATTAAAAAAAAAACTTCTGGCTGAAGGTAGGTTTCCTTTCCTGGTTTTAATTTTGTCCCAGATCTCAGAGAGTGTGTTGGAAGATGTATTGCAGGAGCTGTCTTATCCCTGAACACCCAACCGAGAAACGGAGCAGCTGGAGAGTGGGCAATTCTGTAAACGGGAACAGATAAAATGCACTGGGCATGATGCATTTGCTGCAGCAACTGAAGTGATGAGCATCCTGTGTACAGCTGCAGGCTGCTGAGAATCTCCCAAAATATTTAGCTTGTTCTGCAAGACTTGTGTAGTGGCTTGTTGGTTCTTTTCGATTGTAGGTATTTTGGTTACGTACCCTGTTAAATGGCTAAGCTGTTATTGCAGGGATCTACCATCTTTGTTTACCTGGCTGTGTTACTTATAGGGCTTGAATTAAAACCCAGAGAAAGCTTAATAAAATGCAATCTGCCTTTGCTTGCATCTTTCACGAGTACTTGACCATTCCTTCTGGTCCCCAGGCTTGACAGGGGACCAGCGAACTTACCATGGGAAGGAGAATGTGGACTCCAGGCACAATCGAGGGAGAGGAGGAGAGACAACCCGCTTCCACACTGTCAACGTGGCACAGCCTGTCCGATTTAGCAGTAAGTTGCAGACTGGGAAATGTGGGCCATCTTTCTGATAATTAATTTAGCAAGTTGGACTTCTATGGAGAAATTAGTGGATTTTTCTCTTGCGTGGCTTTTTTGACCAGATTTTATCCACGTATAGTGCTTTTTAAGGTTTTTGGACACCTCTGTATGCCCTTTTATATTGTACAGTCTATGTAGCAGGCCAATACATGCCGAAGAATCCTACTTCCATAGTAATCCTATTTTTGTGAAACCAGAATTGCAGTTTTCTCTTGCAACTCATGGCTGTTAGAGAGAACTAGGCCCCTGGTTTCAGTGATGGTTTCAGCCTGCAGCAGGGGTCATAGTCCAGCACTTGTCTCTTGATGTGAGCTTGCAAATTGCTTGCATGCGATTTTTGGTGGAAACCCAAAATTGATTGCTTTTGACTGAAGTAATTTTGAAGATGATCTTAAAGGTGTAGCACTTATTAGTTAATTAAGTGCATTTCTTATCTTAGTTTTTTACCCTTTTTAATAGGAAAAATACTCTTTAGTGAGCGGGGAGCTTAAGGAAAATCCTTCACTTCTCTGAAGTTAAAGTGTCAAGGATATATATCCTACTTGAATGGATTTCACCATGTTACTCCCATCAGACAGTCAGGAATCTTCAAAAACATCACTTCAGTGTCATCCTGTCCTCTCACCTGCAGCATTGCTAGTGCCGCTGTCGGCACCCTAGTGCCAGCCTTATCTAAAGCGTTACATGTCCTGCAAGTGTCCTTCCTAGACTGCTGCCTCTGAATCTCTGCAGGCCTAAAACATCTAAGGCTCCACTGCCTTTTCCCTCCCAGGGATCATTCAGTGCTTTGGGAATGTGAGACAGCACTGATTAGCCTTGGAGGGAAAGATGGGATTGATGGAAAGATGGAAATGATGGGAAAGATGGAAAGTTTAGGAAGAGGACATGGGGGGAAGACAGTATGGCAGTAATTGGAAACGATTACTTTGGACTGTGGTGATCTTCTGGAAAAAAAGACAAGCGGTTACAAAAAGCAAAAATTCATCTCTTCATGGTTTGGGGTCTTTTTTAGGATAAAAATGCTTATTAAAATTGGTGTTTTGCTTTGTAGTGGAATATGGTAGTTAACTTATGTTAGTAAAATTTATGGAGGACAATAAAGCAATTTAGAAATTGATACAGGAATGTCTAATACGCTCTGCAGTCTGATGGATACTGCATTCTGTCCCATCTTAGTGATGTGAACCGTAGGTCTTAAAAGATCCCATATAAATGCAGAATAAGAAGAGATGTTTAATTAAAGGGCTTCAAATCTAAGTCCGTGTATGATTATTTGATGATAAAGATCACTGTTTCTGAAGGGAATAAATAGGCTTGAGAACAGGAACTCTGTGAATGTGTGCAACAAACAAAACAGTTTGGGAATGTGAAGTTCCTTTCTTAGGTGTTGTGCAAAATTAATACTGCAAATCCAGCTGCTAAAATCATGTTTCATTTGTTTTGAATTTCATCCGTCTGTCTCTTGATTCAAAAGCCTGATGGCCTGTTTCATCCAGAAATGTCTCATGGTTTTTGTTGCCTACTCCCTCAATATTTTTTTTCCCCCTGCTTCTTGTTTTGACGTGGGTTGATCGAACTGATTGGATTTATAAAGACGTGCAAGGAAGTATCTTCCACAGTAGATCATCGTTCTTAATTAAAGACTTTAAAGGCTGTCACAGTAGAAGGAAATATTAGTAGGAGTTGTATCATCTTAAATACACTTTAAAAATATTTCCTTTATCAAAAGCTGTAGTAAAGTAAGCCTTGTGTGGTCTGTAATGCATGCCTCTCCTCCTGGTGAGGTGAAGTATTCAGAGTGGGCTGTGTGTGCACATCAGAGCGATCATGCATTGCACTGCCATGAACTGATCAGCGTGCATTATCTTGAGGGTCCTAATTTGGGGGGAATGGTTTCCCTTCTCTTCTTCATGTTTCCTAGGAAAGTGCCCAACAGGATGGCACCACTATGAGGGCACAGCCAGCTGTTACAGAGTGTATTTAAATGGGGAGAACTACTGGGATGCTGTGCAGACATGTCAGCGGGTGAACGGATCCCTCGCCACCTTCACCGCAGACCAGGAGCTGAGGTTTATCCTGGCACAGGAGTGGGACTTGGAAGAAAAAACATTTGTAAGGAAGGACCAGCGTAGGTGAGTAGGAAGGAAAGGACAAAGAACTATTACATGAGGATGGTTTCTGTGTGATACAAATGAAGATGCTCAGAGGGCTGGAGCACCTCGCTTGTGATGAAAGGGTGAGAGAATTGGGCTTGTTCAGCCTGGAGAAGAGAAGGCTCTGGGGAGCCCTTATTGCATCTTCCAGGACCTGAAGGGGCTACAAGGAAGCTGGGGGGGACTTTTTACAAGGGTCTGTAGTAACAGGACAAGGGGTAATGGGTTTAAATTGAAAGGGGGGGGGGGGTTAGATTAGGGATCAGGAAGAAGTTCGTCATGGAGAGGGTGGTGAGGCACTGGAACAGGGTGCTCAGAGAAGCTGTGGATGCCCCATCCCTGGATGTCTTCAAGGCCAGGCTGGATGAGGCTTGGAGCAACCTGGTCTAGTGGAAGGGGTTCCTGCCCATGGCAGGGGGGTTGGAACTGGATGGTCTTTAAGGTCCCTTTCAACCTAAACCATTCTATGAAACACCGGTAGTTCAGTTTGCTTAGATAATCTAAGGGTAAAATTGACTTCAGATTAATAACGCAGCATGAGCTTGCGGGTTAACTGTTTGGTAGTGGCCATCCCTGTCTGCTGTTTTAACATTAACAGATTAGCTACAATTCAGTGGAGTCTTTCTGTCTCCAGGCTGTCTCAGCAAAGTACTAGTATTCTTGAACTGAAACAAGATGGATTTTACAGTGACTTACTGCTGCACTACTGTTTGTATAGAAATACTTCCTTAATTCTTTTGACAGTATATTTGTTTCCATTAAGTATCAGCAGCTTGAACAAAGACTGCAAGCTTGAGATAAGAATGAAGCAAAAAGCCATTTTGAGTTGCAAGAACTGTGTTTGGCTTGCTTCAGATATTTCATTCTGTTAGTTTACAACAGACATAATTCTCTTTTTTTGCCTGTGGGATTTGTCAGTCTCGTGGGCTGCCGTGACAGATCACCAGGAGCGTGGTTCAGTAGTGGCGTATCCCTGTCTCTGGAGAGTCACATGGTTTGATCCGCAACGGTGACATAAGCTGTATATGTTTTATAAAATATTTGACTTCTGGATGCTTTTGTGTGGGTTTGGGGTTTGAGATACTGAGGTGCTGCGATAACAACAGAATTAGGTGGTTGTTATGAGTAGAAGTAAGACATGGTGAGTTATCTCTCTCCCTCTCCCCGTTGTCAATGTATGGGCTGAAATGTTACAGAAAAAATCATCAGAATGTTTAAAAAGTTAGCTGTTAAGTACGACATTGGAAGGTGCTGTGTTATTTTACTTTGTTAGTAAGGGTTTGGCTTGTATCTTTAGAATCTGACTTAATTTTTTTGTAGGTTCTGGGTTGGATATCAATATGTAATCACCAATCGAAATCACTCTCTAGAAGGTCACTGGGAAGTAGCTTATAAAGGTATGTCTCTCAAATTATTACTTGGTTAAATGGCCCATGGGAACTGGCTTAAATATGAATATTATTTGCAAGAACAACTACTCCTCTTTCAGGGGTAGTGTTGAAATAGTGTAGGGGAACTGCTTTGCTTTACAGTATGAAAACAGAAGAGTTTCATATCCAATATACATGTCTTACTTTCGAGTGGAAGAAGTTTCATTGTTTTGACGTTGATGTCTTATGGAAAGAATGTGTTTTTAGTTTATTTGCACTTTTCTATTGATTAAGCTGAGAGGGAAATTGTTCTGTAGCTTCTTGTTCTTTGTGGTGAATGCCTAGATGAACTGCTGATTCCTCATTCCAGTGTTTGCACTGGATATTTGGGGGTGTTAGCTTTTTAAAAATGAGTAGATTTTTATATTTTTTTAAAAAAATCTTTAATTTTGAAGAACTACCCAGAATTTTTCATTTTAAAGTACTTCAGATAGTTTACTTAAACCAAGACAAAATTTGCCTAATCCCAGAAATAAATCCCAGTTTATATGACTCAAAATTAATCCGATAGGCATCACTGGCTGAACTTTTTCAGTTGCAAAATAAGCAGCTCCCTCTGCTGAAAATGCAAAGTTGTGTTTCTATGCCTTTTAATTTTAACTAATTCAGTTGGCGGATTTGTTAATCTTAAAGTCATTATATGAACTCTTACATGTAGAGTTGAATATCTAAGTGCTGTACTGGTTTAGGGAATGGAAAATTTCAATCAAAAGAGATTTTTCTCTTAAACATCAGCATTGTGAATTCCAGTGTAGCATTTGAAAACTAATCAGAACAGGTGGCTTCTCATATACAATTTTCAGTAATAGAAAATCTGGAAGGGGAGCTGTCCATTAGATACAGATCCATAATTATAAACAGAATTTTGCTAAGTGTTTGGGTCCTGAAAAATACTTCCTTTGACACGTGAGAAGTAGTAGAACCCTGCACAGTACTTGTCTACTGTGCTGCCGTGCACAAAACCACTGATTTCTTTTGTCATTTAGGTGAACAGAGTTGACTGACTATTCAGAGGAAATTGCTCCTGCTTGTGGAGGCAGGAACATTTTCATTAGTTCCTTAAAATAAAGCACCTAAAGAGGTCTTTGGAGAGCAGGAAAAAGGAAGGGAGGAAAGTCCAGCTTTTTAGCATAATGGGGATTTCTGGTCCAGACAATATAGGTAGGTTTCTTCTGTGAAGCCCAGGGGAAAAAAAACCCCGACGTTCTCCTTTTTTAAAGGACCTTTCTTTGCCTTTTGGAAAGTTGACTGCACTGCCATCTGCTGACAGTGTTTACAACCAGGGAGGCATAAATGATAGAAAAATCACGATACCTGTTGTTATCCTAAGTTTTATTTAATTTGATGCATTATATAAATTTAAAGCTTCTCAATACCATATATTCTTTTGTTTGCAAACTGGCTATTTAATAAAGGGATTACCTGTATGAAATAAAGTACATAGTAGTTCACAGTAGCATTCACTAGCTTCTGAATTCCAAGTATCTGTTTGAAAGGTGATTTAGGGTCCTATTGCATGGAAACTTTAGTCCGTTATTGGGAGATGTGGAAGGTAAGCCCTCAAAAAAAAATAGTAGATCCTAGTTGCATTTAAAAAAATTAAACAAGCAAAAAGCCATCATAACCAATGGTGTTTGAAAGTACTGTCATGTCAGAAGACTGTAGTGTGCTAACTGTGAGAGCTGTTACAAAATCAATGTTTAAGCACACAGATTTGGAAAGATGGCTTCTGAAAACATACAAAACGCTAATTTTCACAATTGCTGTGTCTTGGTCTCCCATTAACCTCTGCAGCTTTGCATACCAGCAGATTTCACGGTCAAGCGAGACAATGTTCGGAAACAGGATTTTAAAAGTGATAGAATGCCCTCAACGCCTCTCGTGCTGTTTGGAACCTATCACAGTATGGTCGCTTGACACCTGTGTGAGTTGGGAAGGACCAAATGGCCCACGCCACCCCTGCAGCAGCACGGGCAGCGTTGCAGCCTTGGTCTCCGCACTCTGAATGAGCTGCGTGAGACATGGGGGAGCGGCTGTCTTCAAGGCCAGGCTGGATGAGGCTTGGAGCAACCTGGCCTAGTGGAAGGTGTCCCTGCCCATGGCAGGGGGGTTGGAACTGGATGGTCTTTAAGGTCCCTTCCAACCCAAACCGTTCTGTGATTCTATGCAGGGGACAGATGCACACGCATCTGTGGAAGCACTAGCTGGTGCTTGGAGGGCCCGGTAGACGACTGGTGTGGGTTCTTGCTCTGCTGATGGCGAGTGTGGCCGAACACAGCATTGTTGGAAGGGGTGCATAGCTGTTGGCAGGCAAACCCCATGGGCCTCTGGGAAGCATCCATTGTAGAGATATCGGAACATCACACCTACTAGAGCAGAGCGACAAAATTGCCCAGTACTTTGAAAGCAGCAGCCTCTTCCCTCCCCTCTGTTTGCCTTCCCTCGGAGGAATGTTGCTAATGGAAGCTAAAGCTAGAGGACAGTAGCCTTTGAGCAGAGTCGGTGTGCGTGAAATGAGTGACGTTACAGAGCCTTGTAAAGCTTTGCATACCCACAGGCTGCTTATACCAATGCATCTTGTTCTAGGCTCTTCAGAAGTATTTTTACCCCCTGACCCTATCTTTGGTACGGCTATGTCTGAAAATGAAAACGTTCTTTGTGCCCAGCTTCAGTGTTTCCATTTTCCTACCCTTCGGCACCATGGTTTACACAGCTGGTATGCTGAAAACTGCTATGAGAAATCGTCATTCCTCTGCAAAAGGAGTAAGTTGGGTTTAGTTTCAGTGTTAACAGAGTTGTGTGTTTAAATATGCAGATAACAAATATAGGGAAATTGCTTAGTTATCCTTTCTACCTTTTGCCCAGTGAATCAAATAAAAAAGAGGGGGGGAGAAGTTAAATTTCTGCTTGATGTAAATAAATCTGAGCATCATAATGTGTGGTTGTCAGCCACAGTATAGATTGTCACTGAAAGATGGTTGTTAAGCACCTATATCGGCCCCAAAATGAAGTATACATGAATAAGAGACTTTATAAACCAAAAAAGGCACTTTATTGTGACTCAGGCGTTTCCTTATTTTCATATGAAGTTGTTAATTTGGTATTTCTGGTATATTTTGAATGTAGCAAATCCGATTAAATTCTTTGCAGCCAATTATTAGAACAGGGTGGGCTGGGAGGGGCGGGGAGGGGGGCAAATGGAGCTACTGACTTTAAGTGAAAAAATAGCTTTATCTTGCATTTATTTACTCCAAAAGGCTTTATACCAGCAGAGGTACTGGCAGTATTTTCAGGTAATATTTAAGATACCTGATATAAATGGTGCTTCTTTGCCAGAAGGAGAAAAGTTGCTGAACTTTTACTGCAGTTCCTGAAGTTTCTGGTTTGCTTTTTCTTTAAAGCAGGAAAAAAAAAAACTTACAGAATGGCAGGGGAGGAAAATTTAGCTTTATTTGCTGCTTTTACACCTGAAATATTGAAAATTAGGAGTACAGGATATTGCCTTGTCTGCCTTGATGTAATAAAATCTTAGAATCTGCTATTGAAAGACGTGTTTAGTCACAGTGATGATAAAAAGATGTCCTTTTTGGTCATCTGTTCAGGATGATGTTGTAAGGAAGGCGATAGCTCTGCCAGAACGTTAACCAGAGGGCGAGCGTATCGGATGTGTAAGTTGAGCGGAAGAGTGCCGTGTCCCATTTTGGGCCTTGCAGTGCAAGCAAAATGTTGACGAGACCTTGAGAAGTTGAGACGAGTGCAGTGGGGGGCCATCAAGATGGTGATGTGGGCTGAGGCGCCCATGCTTTGAGATGAGGCAGTGGGGATGGGTCTGCCTCTGCCTGGAGAAGGGGATCCTTCCCGGGGACCTAGTAGCAGCCCACCAGTACTTACAAGGAGGTATCAGGAAGATGGAGCAGGCTCTTCACCGTGGTGTGTGGCCGGAGTCAAGGGACGTGAGGTTGAAACAAGAGATTTGAATTGATGTCAGGGAACTAATTGTTTAATCGTGAGGGTAGTCAGGAGTGGGACAGACTCCTGGGGAGGTTGTGCAGCCTCTACCCTCAGAGGTTTTGATGACCAGATTAGATAAAACCCTGAACAACCTGTTGGGATGTCATAGGTGACCCTGCTTGGAGCAGGAGATGGAGCTGGAGACCTCCTCAGGTCTCCTGTAGCCTGAACTTTCCTGTGGGCCCTTCCGGCTGACCTGTGTGTAGGATGGAAGGGGAAGGCCACTGTTCCCAAACAGCTGCTTCAGCTGGCAGGACCCAGCGCCCTCTGTGTTCCCTCTGTCTGGCTTTGGTACCTGCCCTTAGGTCAGTGGGAGGGAAGGATAGTGGGCAGAAGACACCTCTGCTTCCTCTGCTGGGTAGGGAGCAAGGTGCATCTAAGGCAGAGGAAGTACTATGGCCTTGCTTCTTTGTTGGGCCTGGCCTGTTAAGAATGTCCTTCAGGTTGGTCGAGAAGATCCAGCTTTTCCTAAGTACCAGGAGAGAGGGAGGGGGAGCTGCAGCAGGCATTGACAGCGAAGCTTCAACTTCTCGGCCCACTTGTTTTCCTGAGTCTTGGAGAGGATGCCTGAAAGTGTGTCAGTTCCATTAAAACTCACTTTGTCAACTTTGAGCAGTAAATCATCCCTGCCTGCCTCCAGACTATCCATTATCTTCCCCACTCCTTGGAGATCCCTTTTCAAAGTTGCTTTAACGTGAAGGTGCGGCCTTTAACTGGTGGTCTGCTCACGTTTACAAATCTCTTACTGTAACGGGTTCACAGATGCTTGGATATTGATGTGTGCTTCCGTTCCAGGCCAGACCTGCGTTGATATCAAAGACAACATTGTAGATGAAGGCTACTATTTCACTCCAAAAGGGAATGATCCCTGTTTGAGCTGCACGTGTCACAACGGTGAACCCGAAATGTGCGTGGCCGCTTTGTGCGAACGGCCCCAGGGGTGTCAGCAGTATCGCAAAGACCCTAAGGAGTGCTGCAAATTTACATGTTTAGACCCAGGTAAGAGTTGACTGCTACAGTTTTGTCAAGAAGAATGGGTTCAGTGCTCAACTTGGTTATCTTTGGATATGGCTTTGTTTGAAAAGATGTATCCTCTCAGGGCCTCAGCGTTGCCGGGTACAACCCCCCTGTGGGAAAGGATCTCAGATCGTGGGAAACAAACACTTCAGACTGTGGCTAGAAATAATTAAGTCATCCTTGATGCTACTTATAGAGGAGAAGCAGTAGCTTGTTTTCTGTATGGAGGTTGACACTACTGTGGATTTTTAGCAGAGCGTCTTGCACGGTTCCTTTGTCATGTTTAGTTGTCATGAAAAGAAAAGACTTTTGGGTACTAATGGAGCATCTTTTTCTGGACATGAGCATCTATGTGTGTGGAAGTTTGCATGCAGGGATCACGTGGGAAGCAAAGCTTATAAATTGTGTAGAGTTTTAATAATAATCAGGACATGTGACTTTGCTTGTTGGGTTTGGCATCTCAGTGCAGCTTCTTGTTTTGGATCAGTCCTCAGTTGACTCTGACCAGACTGTTTGTCAGTCACTATTTGGGGATGTAGAATTGGGGTGGGGTGGGGTGGGTGTATTTTTCTGTAAAGAGACTTGTGAAAAGAAATGTATCTTGGAATTTACTGTGAGGGTGGTCAAATACTGGAGCAGATTGCTTGTGGAGCTTCCATCTGTGGGATATTCAATGCCTGGTTGGACTCTGTCCTGGGTACCCTGCTTTAGCTGACGCTGCTTGAGCAGGGGTTGGACGAGATGATCTCAGGACGTCCCTTCCAACCTCAGCCATTCTCTGATATTCTTACTTCCTGGTATTTTAAAAGTACCCAACCTTATCTGCGTGCACTAACAAACTATTGTTCTGAACTCATGGAAAACATGGAAGGTCACCTCTTCCCATCAGAGGCTTCTATTTCTGTCTGTTAGAAAAAAGGGGTGCCCGTTGGTGTCCAAATTTGCAGTCTCTCTTGTTTGTCATAGCTACAGAAGTTAATCATTAATGGCCACTGGCTCCTCCTTGCTGTCATTCACACTCCTTCTGAGGGTTAAGCTTAACAGATGTTTGTAACTAGTGTTGCAGGGTGGTCGGTGGAAGAGTGAGGAAAAGCAGGAGTCTTCCTCCGACTGTTATCAGCAGAGTTAAGAATTTGTCTTCTCTTTTTTTATCTTCAGGAACAGTGTCAGCAAAGCATCATCCAGCAGCCAGGATAAGATGACCTGGGATAACCTCCTGCTGTGTTCTTTAATCCTTGCTTGTTGCTGTGGGTCTTAACTATTTCATGAATACTGATTTGAGGGTGTATTTTACCACATCCTTTCTGATCCTTAAGCTCTTCTTTCTGTACTGAGGCTAAATTAGGCTGTTGCCTGCAGTGTTCTGGTTGGTGGTTGTTGTTTTTTCTTTTTTTTTTAGTAACTTAGTTTTTGAGAGAAGAATCATCACACAATTGTCAAATTTCCTTCATAATGAAGTTACTTCAGCTAGTGATAAACACTGAAATTTTTAAATGAAGCATTTCAGTTTTCCTTCTGGGTGTTTATAAATTACTATTCCAGATGACAAAATTAACTAATTACTTTCTTTAATCAGCATGTATTTATCTTTGTCCAATTCTTACATATATCTTCCCTGAGCTCTGTTGCACAGGAAAGAAAAGAGTTCACTAATCAACGGTAAGTAAATTAATCACCCAAGGAGAGACCAAGGGGGGAAGTAAATCCTGCTGTTGGGTTGGCAGGTAATCAGCTCTCGCAGTGTGAGTGGGTGAGCAGTGATTACAAATGGATAACGAATATTACTTAAGGACTTGGTAGTAGGAGAATTTCAGTGGTAGGAGTGAGCTGAGCAATCACAGCTATACTCTCATGAAAGATGCGTCTCCTCATTTAGCTGAAGATAAATAGCACAGGAAAATCTTTCATGGGCTGATGCTGAAACTGAGGTAGCCTGTCTATTGCTGTTCCATGGATGTGGTTGAAAATAATTTTTCTGTGTGGCTCGTGTTTAGACAGACCTGTGACTCTTTTTTGTGAAGAGCTAATAAAAGAAATAAAATATTTTGAAAGAGCTGTGCGGAAGCTTTTGTGATGCAGTTACACGCGATGCAGGAGTAATACCCTGTAAAACAGCCTGTCTGCAATAATCTATTTACGTGGGCTGGAAATCTCAGTGATGACTTATCTTGTTCTGTCCAAGCTGGGTCTTTGTGTTTTTTTAAATGTAGGACTTTACTTGACCCAAGTTTATCCAGGTTGATCATTGGGAGCTCTCTCAGGCTGGGAGCAGGGTGGTAGAGGCCCAAGACACCCCAGAAAGTCCAAGAATTGCAGCTGTAGCAGGCCTGAAGAGAATACGTGGAAGTTGGGCTTTCTGCCTACAAGATTGGGTCATGCTTGCCTCTGTGTGTATTTTACTGAAGTCACTTTAATGAAGACAGATCTTAGCACCAATTTATGGTGCTCGTGAAGTCCGTGCTGCCACGCAACGGGAGAGGGACAACGGCCCGTCTGTGGTGTTTGGGAGGGCGTGCTAGTTGGTAGGTGCATGACTGCATTGGTTTAAGCTCTGACAGTAAGAGTTGCTGAAAGGTTTGACAGCGGAGAGGTTTTTGTACTGCACAGCCAGATTTGAGAGGGTGTCATGTTCCGGCTCTATTCACCGTGCACTAGTAAATGAATTTCTTCTTGCTAAGCATGCGTTACGTAATAGATACTGGCCTGTTAGCCACGTATGTGTATAAATTAGGTGGATTTTTCTGTTCCTAGTGTCTGTAGCAAGCCAGTACTTACAATTTTTGTGAGGCTTTTAGCTTTCTTTTGTAAGGAATCTTTGATACAGCTTTAGCTGCTGTCAGTGAAAGGAGAAGTATTGGGAGAGCTCTTGCAGCTGCGGAGGGTGCAGGAAAGGAGAGGTGGCCAGGGTCTGGCTGGTTGCTCTAGAAGGTGCTGTGCCTGGGGAGAAGGATTCATACCTGGCAGCGCCTGTGTCCTGTAGCAGGAGGTGACCAGGTTGTGCAGGCACTTCATCTGTTTCGTACCCACACCTAACCTGGGTGCGTTCCTCATTCGGAGCTCTTCAACGGGAAATTGGTGCAAAGAGCACAGCACAGTCATTTTTGGGTTGCTTTTCTTTGTGTAGAGTATCTGTATGTGAGCATGTTACTTAGGCATAGCTGAGTGTGATTAGTTGAATTGTGAAAAAAACCAATACCTGTCATGCCTGGCACAGGTAGAACAGTGACAACTAGCTCACCACAACCTTCCAAGTGTGGATCTGGTTAGCAGTGGCATGGAGTGCTCAGCCTGAAGCTCCTGGGTCTGTTTCAAGTTCTGCCTCTCGCCTTCTGTGTGATTCTAAGAAAACATCTCTACTCAGTTCCTGAAAGATGATTAGCATGTTGATTCACCTTTTTAAGGTGTTTTCTAATTTCTCTCACTTGATGGTGCTAACCAATGCTCCTATGACACCTGGAATTTAGGTGACTGCATCCTGGTGATAACGACAATGCTTAGGGATTTTGTTGTGGAAATGTAGAATTTAAGCTGCCCACAAGTCATGTAGAAATAGTGTGTAGATATGCCGCTTCTCAGGCCTTTCCCACGCCTTCCAGGCTTGCTGTCCTCTCTAGTCTAACATCATCAGCTGTGCCACTGAGACAAGTGGATGTGCAAAATGCAGTTAACCTTTCCTTTTTCCTGTTTTCAGAGACCTGAAGCCTTCAACGTTTTGTCCCTTTTGCTGACGAAGATATTTTCAGAAACATTTAGATCTTCCTGTAATAAACAGATAAATCACCTGATGATTCATGATTTTCTTACATTTTTGAAATACAGAGAAGTGTTAAACCAGGCTAATGAATCCCTACTCTGCATTTCTCTCTCCATTACTGAAAGAAGAACATCAAGAAAAATGGGTCTTGAAGAAAAGTAACAGGCTGCTTTTCTGTTTTATGTAACAGATGGCAACAGTTTGTTTGACTCGATGGCGGGTGGAATGCGTCTGATAGTTAGCTGTATTTCCTCCTTCCTCATCCTCTCTCTGCTGCTTTTCATGGTCCACCGGCTACGGCAGAGACGGAGAGAGCGCATTGAGTCTTTGATTGGAGCAAATTGTAAGTAGCCTGTATCTGTAACGAGCTTTGATCGAAACAGTGTGTGTGCTTGAGAACAGAAGAAATAGCAATCTGTGGAAAACACCAGTGAAGTCCGGTTACACAGCTCCATACTGGGCCTGGATGGAGCTCTGCGCGGGCTGCCTGAACTGGCTATGATTTGTACAAGTTTTGGTTCTCTGAGCCGCTCCAGATTCAAAGAAAAAGCTTTGTATGTCAAACTTAACCTTGTGCCTTATGCTTACGACTGGTAGATCGTAAAGGTGACGCGTGCCGTGCTCTTGCTTGGCTGTGCGTGTGCCTTGGTAGGTTCTTAAACTTGAACTTTTTAAGCTGATAATGGAAAAATATTTTCTGTTTGTATGTGGTGCAGATCTGAAATATCTCCTATGTGTGAATGATCTCCTTTGTCGGAAGAGGTTAGGTTCAAATTTAGATGTGAGGCTGGGAGCAGGTGGGTTTGGGTACCGTTGTGTAACTGCAGCGAGTTGACCTGTATAGGTTATGTAGACTTTTTTAGGTCTGCAGGAGACCTGAGTTCCTTGGGTGTGAAAAGTGGAATAAGGTGATGAGGTCCGCTGTAAATTGAAGAAGAAAGCACGGGATAAAGTCACTGATTTCTTTTTTCTTCTCTTGAAACAGTGCACCACTTTAACTTGGGCCGCAGGATGCCTGGTTTTGATTACGGCCCTGATGGTTTTGGAACTGGCCTTACTCCACTGCATCTTTCAGATGATGGGGAAGGTGGGGCTTTTCACTTCCATGATCCACCTCCACCCTATACTGCTTACAAATATCCAGATATTCAACATCCAGATGACCCACCTCCTCCTTATGAGGCTTCTGTCAATCCAGACAGCATCCTTTGTTCCACTCCAGGTACACAGGCAATAACGCCTCTTTTCTTCCTCTTTTTCATTCTGCCTAGATGGGAGATTTATTTATATTTTTTTAACTGTAACCATGTGTTTTAGTGATTGTGATATGAAAATATACTTCACAATAAAATCTCTTATTGCTGTGATAGAAAAGTATTTTGTTAAAATGTATCATTAAGCTTGGTTTTCCTCAAAGGTTCTTTGAATCACCTAAATTGCAGGTGGAATCCATGCTGCAAGCAGTTTGACTCTTAGACCTTACCTCTTTTCAAGCCTTACCTTGCGGGGGTTACCGGGTTAGCTAGTTTCCGCTGTGCTGGTACCTTTTCTGGTCTTTTGGAGATAGAGATTGGTATTACAAAGTAAAACAAATGTCATCTACAAGAGATTTTGAGCAAAATATATCCAGTGTCTCCTCTCCTCCCCACTTCCACCCACCCACACCCCCCAAAAATTGACCAAAAATACCACTTTCTAATGATTCACCCAGAGCTCTTCAGTTTTGCAGCTGCGATGGTCACATTCTGTGGAAATGGTTCCAAATTGGGATTTTACAGCAGCATATCTCACCAGATAAGTGAGCCTGATTAGTGCAAGCATCTTATTTATACATTGAAGTTTTATTTTTGCCACATAAATTTCCTCTTTTGTGGTGTCATCTCTTTATGCATTAATGCAAAACCAGGAAAAACTCAGAGCTTCCAGAAATACAGTAGATCTGTTTGGGAATGTGAAATTATGTACTTCACGTCCTGATTCTGCTTGTTTTCTGTCCTTTGCAGATGGAGTTCTTTCTCAGACTGTGCAAAGCAGTCCTCCCTCACTAGGAAACTGTGATGTATCCCCACAGCTTACAGAGGGGTCGCTTCCTCCCTCAGTTGGTCCTTCTCCAGTGGAGCTGGAAGACTCTGCTGACAGCAGCACCTTTCTTGTCCCTCCTGACACGCCGCTAAACGAAAACACGCCGGCAGAAACTCTTACGGGCAGCCGTCACAGCCACTGTTCTCTCAATACCATCGTATAAAGGAGTCAAAAGCCGCGTGCCGGTCAGAGAGCGTTTTGGCAACTGTTTGCACAGACACACACTGATCCGTGGTTTGAACTTCAGAAGGAATCTCCACTTCGGGTTGTTGGGTTTTTTTTTTTTTTGAACACTACTTTTATGTTGTAGATTAGGATTGTGCCGCTCGGTTTTTTTGGCTGTCGTCATTCATTCACTAATCGGTTTGTCCTGTAAATATGGATTGTATAACTGCTCTTTTTTTCCATTGGCTATGGAAAAGGGTGCAGAGAATTCCTTGGACTTCTAAGGAGGTGAAAAGTATGGGTAGTTTGGTTGGTTTTTTTTTTTTTTCCCCCCCCTAACTTGAGAGGAGACAAAATCTACATCAGAAAAAAAGCTGCTTGGATTTGGCTGGATACCACTGGACCCAGGGAACAGACGGTGGAAAAGGAGGCTGGGGGCAGTCACCGTTTAATCAGTTGCTTTCTCTGTTGCTTCGTGCTACACGTGGGAAAGGCAGAGAAGATGGAACTACGGGGAAAGGGGCTGGGGGCCGGCTTTACGGAGCAGGATCACTGAGGAGCTAAAACACGTGCCACCACGTAAGAGTTACACGGTTTAACGCACTTGGGTCTTGATCTGCCTTGCTCTTTCGGAACACCGTAGGATGAATGATCTACGCACGTGGTTACTAAGACAACTAGGATCTGCAATTACAATTGTTCGTTGTTGATAGCTGCAACATCTCATATTGTTGGGTACCTTCTGGCCCACCAGCAGAACTGGGCCCGTGTGATGTTTGTGTCCCTTCAGCAGAGTCCTCGTGGGTGGTAGGGGGTACTTTAAGGCAGAGTCGGGGAGCAATTAACTTTGCAGTCCGACTTCTCTGGATGAAGCCCCTGTTTGTTGTGATGCCCTAAGGAAGACTGAAGTGTTTTTCTTTGTAGTTTAACTCCCCCACAGTGAACACTTGCACAAGATTAGCCTGGATAAAAGACCTTTCTACCTGCTTTTCTTATTGCATGCTATACTTAGCATGTAAGTGTGTTCCCTCCCCTCCTTTCCACTTCTTTACAATTCTACAAATACTGTTTAAAAACAGTGCTCCACGGGCACTATACGTGATGTTTAATTCTAATTGGACACTTGTTCCTTATCAGAGTCCCATAAATTGCCAACCCTATTCTAGGGATATCCCCCGTGCCCCCCAAACCATTTATCCAGGTCCCATGAGGGGTTATGCAGAGGTTAGTGTACGTAAAGCAGCTTGCTTCAGTCTGTCCTTTTAAATTTCCCCTGGGGATTGAACTCAGATGGCAAAAAGACTCATTCACCCCTTCACTAAACCTGAAGCCAAGCACTGTTGGTTTTGATAATGAGTGCAAAATAATCTTTACAGGTGATTTTAAATTTTAAGTTTGGATTTCAGTGTACAAATAATTTACCCTTTCCCCCCTCCCATCCTCCTCTGGCCTCTGCTTCTCCTTGGCTTAGTGTAGCAGTCAGCAGACGAGATGAACTGTGAGGGATCTGTAAAGAATGCCCCTTGCACGTGTTCTCCTGTTACCTTATGAAGGGTGCAAGCCTAGAGGGACAGGAAAACGCTGCATGGGGGGGGGGTGTACGCGGTCTATTTTTCTAGTAATGATGAGAAATCATACTTGTATGACAAATCCTGCCCACGGTTGTGGTTTCCCAGTGCAGCTGACTCTCTCCCCACTGAATATGCTGCTACTTTCTCTTCTGCGTCTTGCCTATAGGCTCATACTGTACTTGGGGATTGGTCTTGGCAATTCAACTCCTGCACAGCAAACTGGTGAGTCTCGTCATTGACATCGTAGCGGGTGTCTTGACATTGACACTTGCTAACGATCTTGAATCCACCGGAGAGCGCGAATCATGGTGCACTGCTGGCACACGAGTGGGAGGAAGCACTGTTAGGAAGCCTCTCCGCCTGGAGCCGTACCACCGCCCGCGTCCTGCTCTCTGGTTTGACTGGCTCCAGCGGCGGCGGTACGAAACGAGAGGAGCAGTTCTCTACCCTGTGGGATCTCTTAGCATCTCCTCTTCCGAGTTCAAGTCCTGGTCTAATGAAGTGGATGGATAGCAGTAGTCAGAACCATGCATACAAATGATCGAGCATTTCTGAAGTATGAAAATAAAGCGGGTTTTGTGCGTTTTTGAGCACATTCATACGTTTTATACATTGTATGTACTGATTTTTCTTTAGTTTTATAGGTACGAATGCGTGTGTGCGTGTGTGTGTTCCTGAGTGGTGAGATATACATATATATATATATACACTGTAGATGGTAACCTTTGTGCTGCATCCGGCTAGGTGAAGCTAAGCACTGGGGTATAAACTAGGCTCTTAGGGTTAATGCTTCTCTCAAGCTGGCTGCACTCTGTTGTAGGACAGCCAGTGACAGTGCACACTAAGTAGGATGCAAAGTCTACGCTACTACACGCTGTTCCCGAAAAAATATTTTGTTGGCAGCTCAAAATAGAAAACTTTCCAGTTTCTTTTGAAGCCGGATGGAATCGTTGTTCTTTGTAGTATCCTAGCGCAATAACGAAAGGCCTTCTGGCTTGGTTTAGTCTCTGAAGCTGTGTTTTGTGGCTGAGGTGAACAGGTACCTTACCTCATCACTTCTAACACTTGGGAATCTGTTCCTTTTTTTAAATTGGGGTGTATGTTTTTTGTTTTGATTTTTTTAACTTTTGGTTCGGTGGTGAATTTTATTTGAAAATAAGCTCTGTTACAACTGGCAACTTCCTGGTGGCTCCTGGTTGTAGCTTTTCCCAATGGAGGCTTCTTTGTAGAAGCCCCGGCGTGATACTTTCCCCATTGCTTCTGAGCCTTTCTCACTTGTATATGGGCATGGAGGCTGCTATTTTCTCTCTTTTCCCCTACCCTTCTTCATCCTAACTGTAAACAAGGGAAGCTTTGCCTTGAACAGAGCAGCTCACGAAGTATGGCTCATTTACCTCTTGGTGAGCTTCTAATTTGGCAATAAAATTGTCTTTTTTTTTTTTTTTCTCCCCCTTTTTAATGTAGCTTTTTCGCATCAAGTACTGTCTCTTGGAGTAAGAACCTTTGTAGCAGAAAACGTCACAACTACTCAGACTCTGGACCAACTGGGGAAGAGTTAAATTTTCTTGACAGCGGTTGACTCCTCAGCAAACCTTCCTTGCCCTTGGCAAGGTGACTGGTAAGCAGTTTGTCCTGAGCACCAATTACAGGGGGTTGATGCCCGCCTGAGGGAGCCTCTGGTTTGATTGCCATTAGATTGATGAGATCTTTGGGGTTTTGTGCGTTGATTTTTTTTTGTTTTTGTTTTTTTTGGTTTTTTTTTGTTTTCTTCCTCCTCCCCTCGCCACTGTTCACTTCTCTGGATGTTTTTCTTAACTACTGATGCATCCCAAATGTCCCTCCGGACCCCAGCGGGGAAAACGGCGTTGCCACGTCATTCCCAGCAGCCCGCGTGAGCGGAGGGTGCGTCTCTCCTGGGGCTGTCGTTGGCCGCCGTCGTTGCAGCAGCGCTCGGTCCTGCGCGGGGCTCGCGCTTCCCGTCGGGACCTGGGACAAACCGCTCCTTGGATCCCCCGCCCTCACGACGTCCCGGGGTGGCACAGTGAGGTCTCTGCTCTTCCTTCCACAACAGCCCTCGATGGTGGCTTCCGTCGGCGTTACCGGCCGTGCGCGCGCACTCGCAGCAGGCTCTGGTGGTTTAGCTAGGGGAGTGGGGAGTGTTGTGACGCGTGAAGGACGGTGGGTTCCGTTCTCTGGTAGACGAGCAGAACTCTCGCTCAGAGCTCGCCTGCGTAACGCTCGGTCTTGTCCTTGACCCCTTCGTGGCAGCACACTGATCTTGGAGAAGGGTGAAGTAGCTGGAGAGCTTGTCCTGAGGGCTTATTCTTAGGGTCGGTGGGTGCCCTGCCTCCACAGCTGTCGGGGTGATGGCCTGTCCGCCTGTCTCTTGAGTCTCACTTGGGAAGAAAATGGGTTGGTGACCATTGGTACTGTTCTTTCCCCGTCAAATGAGTTGGAAGCTGTTTTTAAAGGCGGTTTTATCTTCCAGATGTGGGTTTTCAGTGGCAAAGCACTGAAGTTTCGATGTTGCCTCACACAATCCATAACCTGTGTCTTTCGTTTTTTCAATTCAGTTGCCGAAACCTCTTTTTTTTTTTCTCCCTAAGGATCATGCAATACACAGAAATACCTTTTAAATTTCCCTTGCAAGTTGGGAGCTGAACCCTAAAACTAGACCAGATTAGCATAGAGGAGGCAAAGTTCATACATTTTGCTTCCGATGTTCCCCAGTTCCAAACGAAACGCGCGTTTCTTTGGAAAAGACGCTTTCAGCGGTAAAGATCCGCTTGCCCTAACGGTAGCCTGCATGACCTGCCTGCTTCGGTACGACATAGCTTTAATTTTCCAGCATTGTGCACCTTGAACGTGGAGCGGGTTGAGGTCCGTGCCCGCGGAGATGCCGCACTCGCGGGCTGCGTGCGTGGCTGTGCCGCGCCGGGGACGGCGGGGGGCGCACGGGACTACTTTTTACCTTCTCCTGAAAAATAACTTCAGCCAGCGCTGCACTGGCAGGCTTCTCCTGTGTAGTTGGTTTGTGACTGGACTTAACTGTGGCAGTGTATAAAAGATTTTGATATTCTGTGAAATACCATGTAGAGTTTAAATTTGATACTATAATAATTCAGTCCCTGTGACACTGGTTTTTTGGTTTAACTTCTTTCTTTGGGGTTGGCACTAATCCTTCTCTTTTTTTCTCAAGATGCTGTGAGAAACATTTCATCCAAATGCCAAATAAATTGTGTTCTGTAAGAGAAATGGCCTGTTCCAGTGTCTGCTGATTTCTGCATCGATGTGGTTCCTCAGCCTTGCGAACGAAGGGCTTGTTAAATCATGCTTCTGAGCTGTGATCCTGCAAGAAGATCGATAGACGCATTTAACGTCAAGCAGGGTGGCTGCTGAAGTCCCTTTGTGTACAAATTCCAGTGGA